CCCCCCCACCTCTTCAACATCTGTGATTCTAAGACTTTTAAATGTGAAGTGGACTGTTTATCTGAAAGTGTACTGGCAGACTGCCACTATATTTCGAAGATTAAAGAAAGGATGGAAAACAATCAGCTTTCCGAGGAACTGAAACCGCGACAATATGTTTCTGATTAATTTACAAATATATGTATATATATTTAAGGCTAAACTACAGAACCAGAAAATTCCTACTAGTTAGTCTATCACAGGCATTCTTGCACTTTATTAGAACAGACATCATATTGAAATAATAAGCATGGGAGGCCTTCTCTTCTTCTTTGATCTATATTACTAAATGTCTGCCTGGCTCAGATTTAAAATAAACTTTGGTATGTTTGCACTTGAAAACTGGAAAAAGACCACAAGTAATAATTTGTCGTAATTTTCCATATTCCCTAACTAAAGCCTATAGTTTAGTCTGTATACTGCTGGATGCCAGGCAATGCTAGTCCAGTCACCCCTGCAGTGGCTAAACTTTCTTGTAGGAATACGTGCTCTAGTACAGGATTAATGATGATAGATCACTTCATCAGCATGGAACTGGCTGAGATGAAGTAAAGGTACAGGTCATAGCTATCCCTGCTTTCACAATCTCTTGCAGGCTAGTGTCATTACAGCCTTAAATACACAGGTCAGTACTGGGGAAGGGTACCACAAAGCTCCTTTTTCTCTGGGCATCTAAGGATCATGGTTTCCTGACAAAAAACCCTGCCAAATGCATCACAAATGTGAAGACAAGTTTTTAAGCTGTTAAATGATGGCTCTTCAGTGTTGTCCTGTGGACTTTTAAAGTCTTTTTTCTTTATAAGTGTTGCTGAGTTTCTTCCAATACATGAAATTATAATAAACAGTGGTGTTTAACTAACATCTACTCCCAGCATAGCTGGATTTGGTTTTAGACTTGGGAGCTTGTGTATAGGTAGGTAATAATTTTACTCAGGCTGAGATACAGATTATAAAATTTCATATAAGATCAATTTATTTTCTTATATCAAAAGTTTAATTCAGAGGAAGGAACACAGAATGGATTTGCCGATCAGGAGGTGGAAGAATCTAAATTATTCATCCTTAAAAAGCATAATGAGTTAAAAATGCTGTGGATAGTTAAAAATGGCAGGATTAAACAATACATCAACATTCTTTAACTTTTCTTAGCCTATTAAAACTGTTCTTTAATTACCTGTTTAAAAATTAATCTCAGTAACAAATGAGTCAACACTTATAAAAAAAAAAAAAAAAAAGGAAAGATCTTTTCAAATCCCACCACCTCGAAAAATTCCCATTCTACTGAGCATATCTCATCACCTTATTGCCAAGGTAACCATGAGTATCTCGTGAACTCTTCAGAGCTACTGGATGGTCAAATACCAGTGGCACAAAACACCTAGTTCTCTATCTACAGGTGATAAGGTCATGCTTCAGACAGAGGACTGAGCTTCAGAATGGATACACTTCCAATTCTATGCAATGACTGCAACTTATTTAGGAAGGAGAGAAACCACTTTCCTTCCAGGAGCTTCAAAATTCAACAGCAAATGGAAGTGCTGTGAGCATGTTCCCCCCCAGACTGGTAAGGGATTGTGGTCCTAGTTACCTAAGGTATCACCCATCACATCACAGCCTTTTCAATCCCTTAACTATACATAGTGCTACCCAAAATGGTAAAGGAGAAGAGAAGCCTTCACATACAGAACTGCCGGACTAAGGTTACTAAGTATACTTTTAGAAAAGATTGAGAGCATGCTCTGAACCAAAAGCTTTTCAAACTTACATTAAAGCTTGCCTCTTTGATCCAGCTCTCCTAGAATGAATATCCTTCTCTGTTAAGTGCATACATACTACTAGACACATTGTAATGGTTCTCAAGCACAGATGCTAACATTTTGAGCAGAAAGGCTGTTGTTAGGCCTCTCTTCATTCCTACAGATGACCACTCATATTACAAAAGGTGAGTAGCAAATCAAATACTGGAGCTGGAGAACCAGAGCTGTTGTGAATGATCTAACACCAAACACAACAGTGCTCAGTAGCCCTGGGGCTTTGCTGTCAGTAAAGGATAGCCCTACCTACTACCAGATAGTGTAGAGCTGGTTAGAGCTATATTCTAGTAGTCGAGCTGAAGCAAAGAGAAATTAAAAAACGAATCTAGAACAGGTGTGGTCCAAGCACCTAAACACCCCACCTCTATTTCTGACTCTTGCTGGTCTGAAGAACAAAGGACCGGGAAGACTCAGTTTTCAGTGTTTTGCCACTTTAAAGACATCAGGTAACACAT